AAGCACTCTAAAGTTAATTTGCATTTATTAAGTATTTATGAACTATAATCCACTCTCGTTTCATTAACATGCACTTTAGTGTCTGAAAACATTGCATTCAGTTTGCACTTAAGTATACTGCTTTAAAGTTTTTTGTTTTTTTTTAAAGTATACAAAAAGGGCTGGTAATACAGTATATTAACCAGATTAATTTGACATTTTTTGATTACTGCCACTGGCTCACAATTGTGTCCGATCGGCCAGTTATTAACAGAAATGACTATTCTTTCTAGTGTTCCAAAGTGAATATTGTAAATAACCCTGTCTGTAACTCAGTAAATCTTATCTTGTGTAATATACTAAAAGGAACCCATTGATCTCTGGTTGGTGTTTTAGAGGATTAAAAAAAAGGCTTCTGTCTCTCTATAAACATCCTTCTATCTTGACAGTACAATTAATTAAAGGGGTCATATGATGCTGCTAAAAAGAACATTAAAGAGAGAGATGTTTCATCCTGTGTGCCACTGAGAAACCTTAAACCCCTAAACAGTTTGTGTGTGATGTGTGCCTTCAATTATGAATGTGTAAATGTACAAGTGTTTAATACTGTGTATATGCGTGCAGTATTTGTGCTCAAGTTAACATCATCATAGAAATGCTAAGACTCATGACTGAACACAAAACATTTATTATTAATAGTGCTTGTCATTGAAAGCGCTATATAAATAAAGGTGACTTGACTTGACTTTAAGACAGTGTGAGAAGGAGAGAGGCTGAAAGATGATTAAATGTCTTGTCAAAGTGAACACAGTGCGACTCTAGGCATCTCACAAAGCAAGGAAAAGCGTGGGCTGACTGTGCTGAATTACCCAGAATACCACACTGAGACATCTTACACAACAACCACATGTTGCTGGGAATCAAAAGTACCGACAGCACATTTATGCATCCCTTGCTCTTCTCCACTGCACAGCATAATAGCTGCATGTCCTAGAACACCAGGCGGGGGGTAAAGAGACAAGCATTGATGAGATACTTATTCTGCTCTACGGTGACTCATTTGGTTAAAGAGATGGCCCCAGAATGAGAACAGCAGCTCTGAGAAGGCTTGTCTGACTGCTTTATGATGATGAAGTCCTCTCTGAATCTGCTGCACACTGGCAGAGTTATTTCTAAATTGCTGTGCGGTAGGGCTGCACGATTAATCGAATGCGATTATCATGCGCATTTTGATAGTAAAGCCGGTTCTGTAATCAGCAGGAAATCATCATCACGTGCTTTCAGATGGAGCAGAATTTACTACACAGAGCCGTAGTTCACTGACAAGCTACGCAAAAAAAATCGCAGACGATTTTATTGCGCGGCTATAAATTTGTTATTTAAATTCTGCAATACGACACTCATTAAGTATGGGAATTCACAGGGAGTGTTATAACAACACCAGTCGACACAATTAATGAGCTACAGGACTGAAATCACTAAGCGTGTCCAACAACCTGTCGAGGTAGAAGTTGTGAGATTGGGAGGTTGTTTTTTACTCAACACAAATTAAACACAGTTATGGGATAAGTAGCACATTACTACAATTAGAAGCAGATAAATATGGGAATATAGTGTCGATGTTTGTGATAAACACAGTAAAAAGTTACAAAGAGTTTAGTTTAAACAAAATGTTACAACACACCCTGAACCTTAATTTATTCTTGTAACTTTCAGCACTTTATTATGGTATAGTTTTATATTTTTATCATCACTTTTCTCATACTTACATTACGTATTTACTCCATTATAATCTACCTGACTCTTGTCTAAAAGTATATCTGGAAAAAAAAAAAATCATTAAAAAAATGCATATTTCTAAAGCATCCTATTATTTGCATTTGTTTATTATATTTCTATACCAAACAAAGCGCATGGATCATAGCTGATGTTATGGGAGAAAATGCTTATGCTGTGCCAGTTTAGGCCAAATGCACACTACGATTGCTATTCGTTAGAGATCTGAATTGATGTATATTTTTCAAGATAATTATTACTGATCATACTTAATGTTACTGATACTGTAATTTGAGCAGGCTAACCTTTGACAGAAATCTGACCGAAGGACTGACCTTTAATCAGAACACTATACACACATGATGATTTTCACAGTCGTTTACTCTCAAACACAGCAAAATGTTAAAGTATCTGTATTTCAAAACTGCACTAATAAGCAAATGTTAACTGGATTTATATCTGCTGTAATATTTATATTATATTTATAATATGCTGTAATATAACTGCTCTAATATCTTAACATGCATGACTTTTCATAGTCAAATTAACCCCAAAAAAATGCATATTAAAATACAATATTTAAAAAACAGAGAGAGAGAGAAAACTGATGTTTTTTTCTTCTCATGTTAAATGCTGATCTATATTAACACTTATATAACGCTTTAGTATTCTAGATTAAAGCTTCACTTACCAATGATGAGCAGCCCTACAGCAGGATGGTTTTCATTTCTGCGTTCATCATGTTTGTCTTGGGCAGAACAGGTGTGTATCAGGCCATCTTCAGTGTGTGTGTGTGTGTGTGTGTGGCATTCAGTCTCTTGAACAGTTCACAGAGCGTTTGGAAACGGACTGTACCATCTTCAGCACTCTGAGGGGGGTCAGACTGGCTTATTGTGCTCAAGGCTCCACCTCCATGAGTAAAATGTAAACGGCTTCCAATGCTGTACAAATCAGAATGTGTTATATTTTGAGTTTATTGCCTCAACAAGCGGCTTTGTAAATATCACAATAACAAGTAATTATAATCTCTGAATATCACAAAAGTGATTGTTTGAGTTGTACATACCAAAATCAATGCCTCAAAATCCAACATTTAAAGGGATAGTTCATCCAAAAATGTCAATTCTGTCATCATTTACTCACTCTCAATCTGTTCCAGACCTGTATGGTTTTCTTTATTCTGCTTAACATTAAAGAAGATATTTAGAAGAATGTGCGGAACCAAACAGTCGATGGACCCCATTGACTTCCAGTTTGTTTTGTGTTTAAATGCAAAAAAAAATAAAAATAATTAAATAATCCATTATATCAAAGTTTGAGATAAATAGCACAAAAAAGTGAGTTACAGGCGTTAAAACAAAAAAGAGTAGACTACAACTATCCCCTGTGCTCCCATAACATTTCTAAAACAAAAACACTCATTTGCTGATTCCGGGCACTCTAGCCATATTTGTTAATCCTAATTTCTCACCGATTCTCACATTATGATGTTTTATAGTATTACTTACAGATTTACCTATCTTGTCAGAATTTATATGAAGAAACAACACAGCTTGTTGCCTTATTCTCCACTAGATGTCGTCGCAGGACATTAAATGTGATCAAACAACGTTTCAGACGGAAGACAGAAAGAGTTTGATCATGGATTGAGAACCTGTTGGGACAAAGAATCTCTCATAAACTATGAATTATTGGGATGAGTCCGGATCAGTTATTGCAGTATAGGTACATTGTAAGTCTGATGACAAGACAACAGATATGATTCTGCACTAAATGTACTGTAATTTCTGCGAGCTTGCCTGTGTGGGGCGGGGCTGCAGGCGAGGGGCGGAGAATTCACAGATGAGGGCGGGGTTTCGGGCGAGGGGCGGATAATTCACACACGAGGGCGGGGTTTCGGGCGAGGGGCGGAGAATTCACACATGAGAATTCTAACATGAGGGCGGGGTTGTGGACCTGGGGGAGGAGTTCGGACTTCAGAAATATAGATTTATGGCATTATTATTATTATTATTATTATTATTGTTATATAGGGTGGGTGGTAGAACCACCCAATATCAAAAAGCATGGCAATTGAAAAACAAGGTCAAAGCCCGGACAATTTAGCTATTTAAAAATCCCTACTGGATGCCTTTTTAAGGTCTGAAAAAGAGGATGTGACTGGGGAAAAAGGGCGGGTCACTCTGTCTATAATTCTAATGAGTATAAAACACCCACTGATCAGGCTGATGTGTGTCTAATTTCACATGATAAAAGGAATGGTTCCAACTAATCTGGTAAGCACGTTGTAAAAGTGTATGGTCATCATGTGAAAGCAATGTTTGAAATGTGTACTGCATATGTCATTCTGTTTCAGATACTGTTTAAAAACAGTGGGTAGTATCCTGTATGCTAAAATGCAGCAAGCAGTAGTATTCTGAGCAATACGATTCTTTTTCCATTTTGATGAATGTTCTGGCAGTAATACAAGGCGCAATTTGTGACTTTTTTATAACCATCAAACGTTTTCACTTCATATTGCATTTTTTTTTTTAATTAAAAATAACCATATTTCTTTATATAAAAACATTAAGAGGTAAACAAAAGTAAAACATACTAATGATGGAAATGCATATCATTGCATAACAATCACTGTTTTACATACTATTTAAAAAAAAAGGAAAAGTATGCAGTATTCAGTATATACTGCTCAGTATGCAGCCAGAATCACGCCATTGCGAACACAGCCAGTGTCCTTGTTTGAGCATGCGTGCATGGTGACAAACCCGCGAGACTCCACCTTCCAGTAACAAGAGATGATTTATCATGAGCACACTGGCGACAGAGGCACAGGAATCAGCCGATGCATCTGATGTGAAAGTTTTTTATACTGCGCAAAACGATTATAATACAGGTCCACGCGTGGGAGAACACGAGAGAGAAGACGGCGTTCAGTCTGCAAGTGGGAAGCAGCGCAAATGAAGCGATGGAGACGGATGTACTGGTTCATGTGATAAATGCATGATTGCATGGACGCTTTTCCCTCGAATTCAAACGGGCTTGTACGACAAATCTATGCACTGTTGAGTTAGAAATATAGCATGCTCTGTCAGGTTATGAATATGTCGTGATAATAATGCGCGCTGGTTTGTCAGGTTATTATTGTCATTGCACGTTCAGAAATTTATCAAAGCATTTTTCCCTCGAATTCAAACGGGCTTGTACGACAAATCTATGCACTGTTAGAAATATAGCATGCTCTGTCAGGTTATGAATATGTCGTGATAATAATGCGCGCTGGTTTGTCAGGTTATTATTGTCATTGCACGTTCAGAAATTTATCAAAGCATTTTTACAATTTGTTAAAGTAATAAAGATAATGGTTTCCTGATAAGGACCAAGCGACCAGTCCAGAGTGCCAAATGCAAGTCTCATAGAGGGCAAACTGGAATTGGAGATGGAAGAAATGCATTTCACAACCCACTTTTGGAGGCCTCGATCATACTAACCTCAGTCTGAACTGCCGTTTCCAGCACCACGGACAGCGACCATGAACAGGTTACGCAGAAAAGCGTGTGTGGCTCTTCTATTGTTCACTTTGTTCATTTTTGGTACTATGATGGGCCTACGAACCCTCAAACCCACTGATGGCTTCTCGGATCTTGCTCCAGGAATGGAGTTGATGCCTTTGATTGGAGAGCGAATGGACCAGAGACCCAATCAAGTAGTTGAATCAGCAGGTCAAAATGGTGGTGGGGGCAGTGACACCAAGATAGTGTTTTCCAACTCCGGTCCCGACCACAACATATTCTATGACATTCACATCTTCTATTATTTATGGTATGGCTCGCCACAGATGGACGGTAGTTATATACACTGGGACCATGTACTGGTACCACACTGGGACCCCAAAATAGCTGCCAGTCACCCAAAAGGACGACACAATCCTCCAGACGACATTGCGTCCAGTTATTACCCTGAACTGGGACCCTACAGCTCCAGAGATCCAGATGTCATTGAATCCCACATGGCACAAATCGAAGCGGCGGCTGCAGGTTTTATGGCCAAGATACAATTTGATGAATTGTGCTTGTCATTTATTATATTTATGTTTCTTTGGCTATTATAGTACAATGTAGATGGTCGTTTATAATTTTAAAAAGCCTTAAAAGAGACAAAATGTTGCTTGTAGAACAATGTATTTCCACTTTTGATGCCAGGTGTGGTGGTCCTGTCCTGGTACCCTCCTGATGTGGCAGATGAACATGGCAAACCCACAGAGGATGTAGTGCCAGCTGTAATGGATGCTGCCCATAGACACAGTATCAAGGTAACTGGTGAGAGATCCATAAAACTTATCTGCTTACACAAACACTTGGTTTATGGAGTTTTTTTCTGATGTATTTGTTTTAAACACTGTCAGAAAAAATGTGCACAGTATGTACCTTTAGGGGTAAAGCTGCTTGGCACCCAGGCAGCACCTTTAAATGGACAACTTTGTATCTTATCTACTCTGAAAAGGTGTATATTAGTAGCTTAGAGTTGGGGTTCCCAAACAGTTTGGTCAGCCACACCCCTTAGATGTAAAAGAACATTGCTAAGTTATTATTTCTCTGATGTTGGTTGATGCTTTCTCGGATGTTGTCACATAACATACAAGTAAACAGAGTAAGTAATGCTAGTGTTTTATGTTGTTTATTTATATATAACATTACTTACTTCCTTACACCTTATATTATAGGAAAATGTTTCATATTGTTTCTGTCGGAAACATACTGTTATGAACATAGCGCACATTGTGTTACAAAATGTTCATTAAACTCACGGCACTTGCAAAGATGGGTTTGTCAAAGACGCATTAACTGTAAACTGAGCTGCTCTCAAAACATAGTATTACAAGCTGCCTGTGTGTAAACTATACAGCTACTTTTTAACTTTATAGCTACTTCTTTAGATTCCGATCTTTTATTTGATAATTGCGATTTTAAAAGATATATTGCTATTTCAGTTTTATCGATTATTTATAAAGCCTCAAGATGCAAAGATGTCCCTTTAAGATGCCCCAGTGACACATTGATGTACCCCTAAATATACCCTTTTTGTATTTTTTTTTTTTTTGTGAGAGAAGGTATATCTGAGCTTATATTTACATTTCAGGACAATTTAGTGACCCTAACCTGATACCTTAAACCTAAAGTGTTCACCTTGAACGGTAAAGGTGAATGGTAAACATAACTTCCACACCAAGTATGTGCCTATTTATTAATATAACAAATATATAGCCTATGTTGTAAGACTTCATATAAAGACCTCTGTTATGTATTGCAGTTTTCACATTACATCACCCATATGGTGTATAAATGTCAGGAAATAAGCCTAATATTACATCTTATTTTGTATCTTATCAGTGTCCTTATAAAGGAAGTAAATATGATTTTACATATGATCATTCCTTGTAATATCCCCTTTACAAATTCAACAAGATCTATGAGTTACTAAAAATAGTAGATAGGCACTATAAGCACTAAAAATGGTTTTCAGTTTTGTTGTAACAGCTGAATCGTTTGTGCTTTTGTAGATGAGCCACTGATTGTAATTTCTTGAGCTTGCCTAGTGGTTGCAAAAGTCTCTGTTTACTGCCTATAGCTGTGTTCACCATTTCTGCCTGATGTTACTGGGCCTTTTTGTCCATCATGTTTTGTAAGCCCAGAATCTCCTGGTGTCTAGAGAAGCTAGTCGGGAACACCATGCCTGTGATTATTGTCATGTTGTTGTCAGTGTGTGAGTTGTGTCATGGAATGGTTGAATTTTAGCTGTAACATTGGGACTCTTCGTTTTTAAATAGCTTCATCAGTACAGTATGTCTTTTATCTGTAAAGTAATTTGCAAAACGTCATGCTGTTTCCTAAAGACCTTGACCTGCTCAACTGCTCTGTTTTGGGTAAACAAAGCACACAACATTCTGTGGCACAGATGTAGTTTTAAGTCTTGAAATACACAAGGGGCTGTATTGCAAGGCGACTGCAAAATCTTTGAACAAAATATATGAATTAGTTTGGAAACAGAAAGCAATAACAGTCATTTGTACTCATTCATGAATGCTCCCAGTGGCTGCTTGAGCAGTGGGATGGAATGAAGCGTATCTCTTCACTGCATGTGCTTCGTTTCCATCAGAATTTATAGTGTTGGAGTCTGGGCTTTATGTTTGACAATGATGATGACAATTCTCACAACCACACTGAGCTCTTCTACAATCCCAAGTGCCATTGTACATCCTTTTGGTGAGGTCCTTTCTCAAAAACATAATTTTTATTTGTCCTTTTTTTATATATAATGTGTCTCAAAAGACAAGTGTCTTGCTGATTAACACAGTTTACATGTTCTGGCAAACCATGTCCAATTTGCACTCCACTTGTGGCTGCACATTCATGCTAGTAGAACGTTTGGTGGCCAGTATGTCTCAACATGGTTCTGGACATTTCAACAATTTCACTGTCATTAGCTACAACTCATGATTCAGGTTCTACCCACAATTTGAGCAAGACTGGGTAAAATATTTACTTTTTAGTAGAGCCCGACCGATATATCGTTTTGCTGATATTATCAGCCGATATGAGCCTGTCGCAGATATATCGTATCGGCGAATATGCCGCCGATATGAAATTTTTTTTACAGAACATACAACGCAGATTAAATGCTTCTGAACTTAGTTTGTCCAACAGAGTGCGCTCCATTGTTTGCTACTGGTGACTCAGGTCAGTGTAGAGATGCGCGGATGAGCTCAAACTTCACCCGAGTCCACCCACCCGCACCTATATTTGATCATCACATTACAATGATTCTAATTCTTAGTTTTGCATGATGATATGATGAATGCATGTTTAATTTTTAATAGGAGATTCAGTGACGTTAGAGATGATCTATGCATCACGGCATGCGTCTGCGGCGCATACGGCTCCACGGCCACTCAGTCAATGCTGGTGTTTATACCGGCCGCGCCACGGCCCAGAACTCATGCTTATCACATCAGTCACATCACATTTCCTAACTGGGTCTCTACACTGGACGCGAGCGGCGCGACGATACAATAGAACCCATTATAATCAGTGATGTTGTCTACACTGGATGTGGTGTGATACGACACGACAAATCCTGACAGTAAACTGATGCCTCGTTCTATTTATGACGTACTGACACAAAGTTCAAATGATTTTCAACGGTCGCTTTGTTTGTTCTGTTGCGTCCTGTTGAGTTTGTCAGACTCAACGTATCAGATTGAAAAGTTAGCATATTTCTGCAGTCCAATAGACGGCAGTGCGGTGGTGGCTTGAGTCTGTTGAATGATGATTTAACGTTACGTTGTCACCTAGTTGGAGAGACTCGATGCTAAAGTAAATAAACCACAATGTCTCCGTCTTTTACTTTCACAATTAGCTTATCATATTCGTTTGCTACATAGGGCCCTGTGATTTCCGCGATGCAGAAAACATGGACGGAATCGCGGAATCCATTCATAAAAACGGAATTTACTGTATAATGCAGAATTTCATGGAATTTGTCATATTTTTGATGAATAAATAAAAAACAGTTAAGTACACTTAAATCAAATCACGATATAGACTAGTGTCTGTGAATATTAAACTGCAAAAAGACTATTTAAATACGAATACTCATGTTCTGCATGTTCATTCGATTACCAGAAAATACACAACACAGAATTGGTGAAAAAATGCATTATTATTATTTATTAATTTTAGATGTTTACATTTGGAAAAGCTGTGCTTCCTGCATAAACCTGCCCCTGTTGGATTGGCAGTAGCTTGTATAGCCTACACATAAAGAATATCGGCTGATATATCGATATCGGTCTTTTTTACTCCCTTATATCGGTATCGGCCCCCAAAAAACCCATATCGGTCGGGCTCTACTTTTTAGTTATCCATACCCAGCACTAATTTCAGTCCTTTAACATTTTTTGACTTAATGGAACAAGACTGAAGCCAATTCACAGAATATAAAATTAAGGACTGAGAGTTACACGGGTTTTAATGCTAAAAATCATCTTTTACTTTTTGCCAAATGCATTATTTTTTTCCTCAACATTCTCGTTGCTAATGTTGCTAACAGACTTAATCACAAATTACATATATACAGTGGGTACGGAAAGTATTCAGACCCCCTTAAATTTTTCACTCTTTGTTATATTGCAGCCATTTGCTAAAATCATTTAAGTTAATTTTTTTTCCTCATTAATGTACACACAGCACCCCATATTGACAGAAAAACACAGAATTGTTGAAATTTTTGCAGATTTATTAAAAAAGAAAAACTGAAATATAACATGGTCCTAAGTATTCAGACCCTCTGCTCAGTATTTAGTAGAAGCACCCTCTTGATCTAATACAGCCATGAGTCTTTTTGGGAAAGATACAACAAGTTTTTCACACCTGGATTTGGCGATCCTCTGCCATTCCTCCTTGCAGATCCACTCCAGTTCTGTCAGGTTGGATCCTTTGCCGAGATAATCCATCCACCTCACTTTGCATAGTAAGAAATATATTTTTTTCATCATTGGTGCAGGTGTTCTTCTTAAAAGCAAATGAGATGCATTCTTTTTTTATATAATTTTATAATGTAAGACTAGACAAGATTGTTTCTGAGCAAGGTTGCAGTTCTTACCGCAGATGTGCAGGGGTGTGAAGTAACGAATTACAAATACTCACGTTACAGTAATTAAGTAGTTTTTATCAGTAATTGTACTTTTTTGAGTAGTTTAAAAATTGTGTACCTTTACTTTTACTTGAGTACATTTTAAGTGATGTATTGGTACTTTTACTCCGCTATTTTCCTCCGTTTGTAGTTGTTACATGCTTATTTTAATTTCATTTTTATCCATCAACGTGATTGGAGAGAGAGTAATAGGTCTCGTGACTTTCCTCAAATCAAATTGTGCATAGAAAACTTTAACCGCCAACTGTTTATCATGGCTGCTGGAAGCGCATTCTTCAAGCATCAATTCAGTCGCATCTTCCTCTAACTTAATATGTTAAGGTAAATTTCGGATTTCTGCTTACTAAATGATTTGTATATATGCTTGCCTATCTACACAGCCTGAAATTTGGTGTGAGGTTGCGGGTATTGCATACAGTGTAAACTCCCGCAAGTGCCACATTCGGTAAATTCCCACTCACTTATGAGACGCGCGATCTGCGCTGCCTCGTCTCTCTCTCTCTCGTCAATTGCGGTGTACAGTGTTTATTATGAGGGGGTAGAATCCACAGCTCAGTACTCACTACTCAATACTCATGAGTACTTTTAAATAGGCTACTCTTTTAACTCTTACTCAAGTAGTTTTTTGGACAAGTACTTTTACTCTACTCACACTACATTTTTTGGAAGGTAATGGTACTTTTACTTGAGTATATTTTTTCAGTACTCTTTCCACCACTGGAGATGTGTGAGATTTTCCATGTTACCAATCAGCTAATCAGCAAACGTAATTTTGCAACTTATTGTAACTTGGAAATTGAACTTGAAAGCAGGTTATTACTTGCATTGTAACAAAATATTGAGTTTGAAATTCCAACAAACAGGAAAATAGTGTTGTGAACCCACATCTGTCTTTGCGAGGCTGAGCTGAAGGTGTTGCCTCGTCCCGGCTGAGAGGTCAGAAAGGCTGACAGAGCTAAATGCTGAAACTTTGAGGTTGTCAAGATGGCCGTACTTGTATGATCGAGTCTAATGTGTTGTGAACCACTGAACCCTGAGGCACCCCGATGGTCAATTGATGTGACTTAGACACCTTGCCTTCCAGAAAACCTTGAAGAACATGTCCATGGATATCATATTTGATCATACCATATCATGCTGTGGATATCATATTTGAGTGTGTATTATGACCTAGGGGTAATCTGCTAGTTTGTTGATTTATTTTTTGTTCTATGTGCTGTGATTTTCCTTTTTTGAGAAAGGCTGTGCAGTCTAGTTTCTTAACCAGCCCACACTGTAGCATTGATTTACAATTGTTTCTTTGGCATTTCTGCTTTATCTTGGTGTCACACATTTAGCTGTAAGGGCACAGCAAAGCTTATAGCCTGAGTGAGTGGATTGACGTCATGCCAGTGCTTATACAACAACCACTGTATCTTCATAACTGTGCTCAAGGCCGTGCCTCATTCTGTACAGACACGTTCAGCCGTTGAAATGAAAGAGGATTTATTACTACTTTAGTCTTTTTGAGTTTTTCTAAACATGTTTAAAACTTTCCAACCACCAAAGCACTACATTTTCTCTTAAATAGAAATGTTAATCTCATTTGCATTTCATGTTTAAAACATTTTTTTAAAGAGACATTTTGTGCTTGGCTGTTAGATGGCAGTTCAAAAGTGATTTCAGAAGGGAATTGGCACCTCTGATTTGCAAAAATGTGTTAAAGCAAATTCACAATTCAACAGAACATGTTCCCCGCCACATAGCATGAATAATGAGACGAAAGGCAGAGAAAGAGTCTTGAGACAGGCATCACAAATCAGATTTATTTTTTAATTTTTTGCTATATCCGACTCAAATCTCTTTAGACTGATGAAGAGCTTTTAAGCTTGTCACCTGTGGTGAGAACATAAATATTTTTCTGCATTTGGAGCTGTGGTGTGCCAACTTTGATCTTTCTTTATGCAACATTTTAAGGTTGAGCACCCACATTGAGCTCTTGGCCTGTTGGACGTGTGCACTTCAGGTGTAATTCTTTGTAAATACAGTAATGGCACCATCATTTTGTTCTTATGCATCTTATGAGCGTGTCACCTTTGTGAGTTGTAACAATGAACATGGCCAGAGGATTTTTTTTTTTCTTTCCATCCTCTTTTTCTACACTGACTCTACCATTACATGTCATGACTATAGCAATAGGTGTAGTTGTAACCAGTTATTGACTACACTGGCGGTCAGTCCTCAAGAAACAGAGGGCCAATGGATCATTTCAGGTGTTGAGCACCTGCAATTTGTGTTATCAGCAACCTCCTTCTCAAAAGACTGGTGTAGTGCAGATGTCCATGTCCAAAGTGTCTGATGTCAAACTGACCATGACAGACAGAGCTGCGTCGCTAAATGCAGGTTGCCATGGAAACAGTTTATGAAGACCTTCTGGATTGGCGGTGTGGAAAATGGTGGGTGTTTGTGCTTGGCTTTTCTCATTCAAGGCCCTAAGGGCTTTGCAGTTCAATCAGCCTTGTGCATGTCGCCGTCACTGAAGTGGAGAGGGTCTGTCTCCTCTGAGTATTCAACATGACACGTCTGTGTCTTAAGCTACCATGTTTCTGGGACTTTGAGAAAGTCATCTGTCAGCCACCTTACAAAGGTGTTGCAGCAGAATAGAGCAATATGATCAGTAGCTCTGATACATGGGTAATGAAGTTGTTATTCACAGATAATCTTCGGCTCCAGTGCACTGTGAACTTGAGAACTGTTGTAGACAGAAATAGGGTAACACTTTAGTTTAGGGACCAGTACTCTTTCCACCACTGGAGATGTGTGAGATTTTCCATGTTACCAATCAGCTAATCAGCAAACGTAATTTTGCAACTTATTGTAACTTGGAAATTGAACTTGAAAGCAGGTTATTACTTGCATTGTAACAAAATATTGAGTTTGAAATTCCAACAAACAGGAAAATAGTGTTGTGAACCCACATCTGTCTTTGCGAGGCTGAGCTGAAGGTGTTGCCTCGTCCCGGCTGAGAGGTCAGAAAGGCTGACAGAGCTAAATGCTGAAACTTTGAGGTTGTCAAGATGGCCGTACTTGTATGATCGAGTCTAATGTGTTGTGAACCACTGAACCCTGAGGCACCCCGATGGTCAATTGATGTTACTTAGACACCTTGCCTTCCAGAAAACCTTGAAGAACATGTCCATGGATATCATATTTGATCATACCATATCATGCTGTGGATATCATATTTGAGTGTGTATTATGACCTAGGGGTAATCTGCTAGTTTGTTGATTTATTTTTTGTTCTATGTGCTGTGATTTTCCTTTTTTGAGAAAGGCTGTGCAGTCTAGTTTCTTAACCAGCCCACACTGTAGCATTGATTTACAATTGTTTCTTTGGCATTTCTGCTTTATCTTGGTGTCACACATTTAGCTGTAAGGGCACAGCAAAGCTTATAGCCTGAGTGAGTGGATTGACGTCATGCCAGTGCTTATACAACCACTGTATCTTCATAACTGTGCTCAAGGCCGTGCCTCATTCTGTACAGACACGTTCAGCCGTTGAAATGAAAGAGGATTTATTACTACTTTAGTCTTTTTGAGTTTTTCTAAACATGTTTAAAACTTTCCAACCACCAAAGCACTACATTTTCTCTTAAATAGAAATGTTAATCTAATTTGCATTTCATGTTTAAAACATTTTTTTAAAGAGACATTTTGTGCTTGGCTGTTAGATGGCAGTTCAAAAGTGATTTCAGAAGGGAATTGGCACCTCTGATTTGCAAAAATGTGTTAAAGCAAATTCACAATTCAACAGAACATGTTCCCCGCCACATAGCATGAATAATGAGACGAAAGGCAGAGAAAGAGTCTTGAGACAGGCATCACAAATCAGATTTATTTTTTTATTTTTTGCTATATCCGACTCAAATCTCTTTAGACTGATGAAGAGCTTTTAAGCTTGTCACCTGTGGTGAGAACATAAATATTTTTCTGCATTTGGAGCTGTGGTGTGCCAACTTTGATCTTTCTTTATGCAACATTTTAAGGTTGAGCACCCACATTGAGCTCTTGGCCTGTTGGACGTGTGCACTTCAGGTGTAATTCTTTGTAAATACAGTAATGGCACCATCATTTTGTTCTTATGCATCTTATGAGCGTGTCACCTTTGTGAGTTGTAACAATGAACATGGCCAGAGGATTTTTTTTTTTCTTTCCATCCTCTTTTTCTACACTGACTCTACCATTACATGTCATGACTATAGCAATAGGTGTAGTTGTAACCAGTTATTGACTACACTGGCGGTCAGTCCTCAAGAAACAGAGGGCCAATGGATCATTTCAGGTGTTGAGCACCTGCAATTTGTGTTATCAGCAACCTCCTTCTCAAAAGACTGGTGTAGTGCAGATGTCCATGTCCAAAGTGTCTGATGTCAAACTGACCATGACAGACAGAGCTGCGTCGCTAAATGCAGGTTGCCATGGAAACAGTTTATGAAGACCTTCTGGATTGGCGGTGTGGAAAATGGTGGGTGTTTGTGCTTGGCTTTTCTCATTCAAGGCCCTAAGGGCTTTGCAGTTCAATCAGCCTTGTGCATGTCGCCGTCACTGAAGTGGAGAGGGTCTGTCTCCTCTGAGTATTCAACATGACACGTCTGTGTCTTAAGCTACCATGTTTCTGGGACTTTGAGAAAGTCATCTGTCAGCCACCTTACAAAGGTGTTGCAGCAGAATAGAGCAATATGATCAGTAGCTCTGATACATGGGTAATGAAGTTGTTATTCACAGATAATCTTCGGCTCCAGTGCACTGTGAACTTGAGAACTGTTGTAGACAGAAATAGGGTAACACTTTAGTTTAGGGACCAGTTCTCACAACGCATGCATGTTGGCTGTTTATTAATACTTATATATATATATATATATATATATATATATATATATATAT